CTCCCTCTCTATGCAGTTTTTCCTTTGGAAAAATGTTTAATGCATAATCTGTTACAGAGAAGTGTCAATCAGAGCGCACACACAAATGAAATTTCTATCCCTGAGTACTACAGCAATAACCGAGGAACACAAGATAAGGGACAGAGGAAAGATATTAGGATAATAATACATGAAATGTACCTCTCACAAATATAGAGCCAGTTCAAACCGCCTTTTATCCCTCCCGGGACTTCCTTAGGCAAATAGTGATTTTAAATGGATGGTGCAGCACTGAAGTCAGAAGCCCACTTAAAATAAAATAGCAAAATAAATGAACAAGGGTGTGCTTACAAAGTATCCAGCAAAGTAGGCTCATCCTTGTATTGCTATGCTCTCGATTTCAGTGTGTAGTTAGGCTGACTCTTGGTACCCTGACTGACTCTCCTCGACTTCCTGGGTTTCTGCTCTCTGGTGACAGATACTATTCAGTGTCCCAGAAATCCTAAAAGGACTCAGTCTTCCCTAGAGTAGGAATGTGGGGAGCCAGAAAGTTCCTCAATGGCTTTGATGTTTCCCTCCCAGCTACACTCTAAACACAACCAACCAGAGTAAAATCATGGCCTTTGGGTATGTCTGTAAATACAGAGCTACATCTGCACTGCTGCAGTCCATCATGAGCGTGTCTTCACCAATCAGCTTAATCAGAAAAAAATCCCACTTCCACAAGTAGCAAAAGTCAGTGGGAGAAGCACTTTGTATACAACCGCTGATGCTGGTGTAAATTCTGTCACTCAGAGGAGTGTTTTATTCACACTCCTAAGCAACATAATTTATACCAGCATAAACTGAAGTGTAGACCTAGCTTCTGTGTTTGGTTGTGATAGTGTTGCTAGCCAGTCAGTTCTATCTCTGCCCTGCACTTTAGACAGTCTGGGAAACAGTTCTGAACATCTGTCATCTTTGCTGCTTGTAGTCCAGGGGCAAGTCCCTTAGATGCTCCACCTAGGGATATAAGCAACTAGTCAACTATCCAATAAGCATAATCTTATCGGATAGTCAACTGGTCCCTCCTCCCCCCTTGCTATCTCTATCAGAGAAAGGCAGCGGGGAGGGAAGGGGTAGCAGGAACCGGTGCTGGGGGGAGCTAGCTTAAGAGCCAGTTCCCCCCAGTACCATCTCCAGGGGGGTTGCAGGAACCAGGCATGATCCAGAAATCAGCTGATTCCCAGCTTGTGCCCAGTCCCAGACACTGTGCTTCTGCTTTTTAAATGTATTAGGAGTTTGCCGGGAGATAACCCCGCTGTGGCTCCCCCACTTATCAGCTAATTGACTAGTTGATGGAAATTCCATTAACTAGTCAAATAGTTGCTTAAACAAAATTTAACATCCCTTGTTCCAGCTGGTATTTGAGGGGCACTCCTCCAATAAGGCTACATAGGAATAAAGATTGGGAGTGTAGACCATCACAGACCAAACCCACTGTGTCCTGCACAGCTGCATAAGCAGTAGATGAATTAATTACAAATAATGAAGTAAAAAAATATACAAATGACTAGCATCCCAGCGGGATTCAGTCTACAGATGTGACGGACTAGTCACTTCTCCCCCCCTTGCTGCCTCTATCAGAAAGAGGCAGCAAGGGGAGAAGGAGGAGGGGGTACTTGCAAGCGGCAATACCGCTTGGAGCCTGGGGCCAGACCCCGGGGCTCCACACAGCATTGCTGCTTTGAAAAGCCGCATGCAGTCCCCAGACTGCATGCGGCTTTTCAAAGTGGCAGCACCATGTGGAGCCCAGGATCAGCTGAGGAGTCCCCCCAGCCTGACACCAGGCTCCCCGCAGCATTTCAAAGAGGCAGCGCCACATGGAACCCGGGGTCAGTGGGGGAATCCCGAGCTAACACGGGCTCCACATGGCGCTGTTGCTACATTTCAAAGGTGGAGGTGCCCTATCAACTAATTGAGTAGTCCATGCAAAGTACATTGACTATTCGATTAGTCAGTCGCTATTTAATGTCCCTAATTCAGTCTCTCTTTTAAAGGTCTAAACACATATTTACATAAATGCTGCTTTATTTGAGACAGGAGTATTCCCACAGCAATTGTTTCACTCTCTTGAGTACTTTTATTATAAGATTTTAAAATGTCATTTTTTTCCTTTGACGATAATAGGGCAATTAAATTATAGCTCAAAGCACCATAAAGTACATTTTAAAAATAATTAATTAAAGTTACTAAACAGCAGCAGTGTGGTTACATATCACTACATTTAACCTAAATACTTAAAAGCAAGGCATGTTTATTTTATATTTTGGGTTGCACATATAATAAGCAAACATGTTACTCTTATCAAGTATAAAGAAAATATTTAATCACAACACAGTCTGCAGTTTTGCTTATGGAAGTTTTATCATCCTCTTTCTGGATCAAAACATTTTCTGTTAATGGACAATATTAGATAGGAAATGTTATCAGTTAATAGTGGGATTTTAAAATTAAAATATGTAGAATTACATAAGAACATAAGAACGGCCGTACTGGGTCAGACCAAAGGTCCTTCTGGCCCAGTATTCTGTCTACCGACAGGTGCCCCAGAGAGGGTGGACTGAAGACAATGATCAAGCGAGAGGCCAAACAGAGACAAACAGAGGCCAAGGACACCATTTTATTCCCTGGCTAATAGCCTTTTATGGACCTAATCTCCATGAAATTATCTAGCTTCTCTTTAAACTCTATTATAGTCCTAGCCTTCACAGCCTCCTCTGGCAAGGAGTTCCACAGGTTGACTACACGCTGTGTGAAGAAGAACTTTCTTTTATTAGTTTTAAACCTGCTACCCATTAATTTCATTTGGTATCCTCTAGTTCTTCTATTTAGGGAACTAATAAATAACTTTTCTTTATCAGCCCTCTCCACACCACTCAGGATTTTATAGACCTCTATCATATCCCCCCTCAGTCTCCTCTTTTCTAAACTGAAAAGTCCCAGTCGCTTTAACCTCTCCTCATATGGGACCCGTTCCAAACCCCTAATCATTTTAGTTGCCCTTTTCTGAACCCTTTCCAAGGCCAAAATATCTTTTTTGAGGTGAGGAGACCACATCTGTACACAGTATTCAAGATGTGGGCGTACCATAGTTTTATACAGGGGCAGTAAGATATTCTGGGTCTTATTTTCTATCCCTTTCCTAATAATTCCTAGCATCCTATTTGCCTTTTTGACCGCCGCTGCACACTGCGTGGAAGTTTTCAGAGAACTGTCCACGATAACTCCAAGATCTCTTTCCTGATTTGTCGTAGCCAAATTAGCCCCCATCATACTGTACGTATAGTTGGGGTTATTTTTCCCGATGTGCATTACTTTACACTTATCCACATTAAATTTCATTTGCCATTTTGTTGCCCAATCACTCAGTTTGGTGAGATCTTCTTGGAGTCCCTCACAGTCTGCTTCTGTCTTGACTATCCTAAACAGTTTGGTATCATCTGCAAACTTTACTACCTCACTGCTTACCCCTTTCTCCAGATCATTTATGAATAAGTTGAAAAGGATTGGTCCCAGGACTGACCCTTGGGGTACACCACTAGTTACCCCTCTCCAATCTGAAAATTTACCATTTATTCCTACCCTTTGTTTCCTGTCTTTTAACCAGTTCTCAATCCAAGAAAGGACCTTCCCTCTTATCCCATGGCCATGTAATTTACACAAGAGCCTTTGGTGAGGGACCTTGTCAAAGGCTTTCTGAAAATTGCTGCATAAATGTTTGTGATTTAAAAGGGAAAATAATTTTCTGTAAAATTATTTGTGAACTTGCACTTAAAGCTCTTTTGTTAATGTTTTGTTACATTTCTTTTTCAAACGGGATTTGTATTGTGTTTTATATATGGTACTTTATGATGAAAGAACAGCATTTATTTTGTCAGAATTAAGGTTCCTTTGCTATGTTTTAGTTATATTTATGTTTCTTTATGCTTGATAATAAGAATAATGTATTTACCATGTGGACACCATAAGTTTAACATTGTTTTTAACTGTTTCTTGTTATAATGTGTTTGTGAAGACATTTAGGCCCTGTTGTTTAATTACCACCCCTGGAAAAGAGAGGCATTTCCTGAGCATATTCCCACTAATCCAAATATGTATTTTGTGGAGCAGGAGAAAATGTCACTTAAACAGATCCAGGAGTTTCCATTCACATTGAAAAATTAGTCTTAGCCTTTTTGGAGATAAAAGGAAAATTACTGCAACTCCCTAAACATTTTACTATTCATGCCTTTAAAAACTGACTCTTTCAAATGTCAAAATCCACTCTGTTTTAATTTAGTGGTATAATGTGATCTTATATATCACAGATATCACACTCTCTTTTCAAAAATTGTGAATAGCTAATTTAATAAATCAAATATGCTAGAAAACAGTCTAAATGCCAAGAAAAATGGCCTCAAAATGTGAAATTGTGAGGATTTCCCCCTCCTTTTTTATGTAGTATTGTAAGGAGGATCAAAAGCAGCCTTAAAATGGGATCCTTTGCATGGTTTAAAGCAATGCTTCTTAAACCAAGGGTCCAGGACTGTGTTCCCTGTAAGCTGTATGCTTGTGGGGCTGCCCAGGAGTAATTCAAATGCCACCTCACTGATAAGCAAATTTGAGAAGCACCAGTCTCCCTCGTGAAATTTGTATCATATAGGGGAAAAGCACACAAAACAACAGATTTTATGAGGGGAGATCAGATTTCAGTGTGTGTCGTGTTTCTTATGGCTGTCAGTTTGGTAGGGCCCTATTCATACTGCAGACCTTTGGTGTGTGCACTTCCAATTGAGAAATATTAATAGAGGAGGAATTTTACTGGCTCATTGACAGTGGAAAGGCAGAATTGGATACACTTCATTTCTTCCCCAACTCAGTTTTCACATTACATTTTACCACATTTATATGAATGTCACCATTGCCTTATGCTGTCATCTTTTGCTAGCTAATTATTTAAGTGGTGAGTTTAATAAATTATTTCATTGCGATCAATGCAGGTTCTGGGTTGACCAATGTTAAAACAGAAGAGATCTCTGAAGTAAAGATGGATGCAGAATTCCGACATGATTCGGGATATGAAGTACATCATCAAAAATTGGTAAGTGAACTACTCAAGCTTTGAGTTTGTTTTGAATGATTGTGGCTAATAATGTCGTTGCCTACAGGGACATTGTGGCCCACATTTTTTAATTGTGTGGTTTGGAAAAATATCTACACCTAATTTTCATGCACATACACACACAGTCTGATCCTCCTCTTAGTTGGGTATAAATTGGGAATAATTCTTTTGGATTCAGGGAAAATACAACAGTGTAAAATTAGTATGAGAGGGAACGTAAACCAACAATTATCATATTTGTACATCAGTTACCAACCAACCTGTATGGTCATTTATGCCAAGTATGGCCTGTATCGTGCACTCCCAGTGCATCGTTAGACATGAGTAAAAATACTTCTGAAAGATCAGTTTGTTCCAAACATATCAGGGAAACAAGGTGGGTGATGTAATATCTTTTATTAGACAGACTTTACAAGCTTTCAAGTGATATAGCACTCTTCTTCAGGGCTGCGAAACTCATCTAAGTGAGTGTTTCTCAGTCTTTTTGACACCAAGGACTGGCTTGCTGCCTTCTTGAACAGTGTAGGGGAGATCTCATGGACCAGTTGTTGAGTAACATTGCTCTAAGGGACCGTTCATGATGAAGGTAACCACTCACCTTGAATGGGCCCATAAACAACACACTAACTACTTATGCTAAACACTCAGTTCAATTTTGTGTTTAGCTGGCTCTGGGTATTCCTACATTGCAATTAAAAATCCATGGCTGGCCTAGGCCCGCTGACTCTGGCGAAGGCACAGTTTAATTGTGGTGTGAACATTCAGGCTCAGATTGGTTAAGTGATTGGAGACTCCCAACTCAGGCTGCAGTCAAAGACTGAACATCTACACCACAACTAAATAGCCCATTGAGCCCCCAAGAGACATCATAACTCAGCTGCTGGTGTTCCGTTACAGTGTAAATGCACCCTGATTACCTTTCCCAGGCCTGAAGAAGAGCCCAGCGTAAACTCAAAAGCTTGTCTCTCTCTCTGACAGAAGTTGGTTCACTAAAAGATATTACCTCACCCATGTTGTCTCTGTAAACCCAGCTAAGATGCATTACTAACACGAGGTATGCAAACAGGTCAGGGAGAGTAAATGTGACAATGGAGGTGGGGAATGAAAACATAAGGCCGCAGGCCTAGGATTTCGTATTCCAACCTGCTTGTCTGAAATTTTGAAGCATCCAGAAACTAAACAACAACGAAGAGGTTTTCACTTTCAGTTCTGTCGTTACCTCGGTGGAAGCAAAGGATTTCAGCTAAGTCACAGCAGCACTCCCACCCAGGCATTGGGTTCAGATGCCAGTGCAATCCTGGAATATCACTTAGGCCAAATGTAGTCAGGCCACTTGAGCTGGACTCAAAACATTGCCATGTTCCCTCAGGCACTCAGGGCCTAGATTCACAAAAGGTTGTAAGCACTGCAACTCTAAGCACCTAGAGGCATTTACTAGGACTGAGGACTCCCTATATGGCGCATGAGAGGAGGAAGGGACCTAGGAATGGGAGTTGCAGAAGTCATGCTGACATGGGAATTAGTGAGGCTAGCCAATAGGAAACACCAAGGAAAGGGTATAGTCTAAGCCCTGCCTCAATGGGAGTTGCATTGCCTCCCTCTAAACTGGAGTTAAGCAACTGTCTCCACTTGGCATTCACAGCTGTAAACCCTCTCCTTATGCTGGGGAGGTCACCTAAGCCATTCTTGCAAGAAACAGCAGCAGGGAGAAGCAGCTGCAGTGTTCACCTTGTAACCTTTAGCCCAGGTGTTAGGGCACTCAGCCAGCAATTGGTGTACCTGGGTTCAAGATGATCCTGCCTCTCAGATGATCATCCTAGCCTTCCCAGGAGAGTTAGGACTTCCCATGTCAATGCTCTAAACACTATGCTGAAGGTTATAAAGGGTCTGCCACATCCTCCCTTTCCCCCTCTCACTCATTTTCAGAGGAGGAGTTTCTCCACTAGATTTAAATTGCCACTGCAGTTTCTTATATCTTTATTTTGTTAGCTGTTTTTGTATAGTAAGCAATAAAATACACTGAAAGTGCACTGTGAATCCTGTGGATACATTTTCTCATTTGGATAGTTTTGTATCTTCGAATAGGAACAGATCCAAAGCCCATTCGGAAAGAGAAAAGTTTTTGATCAGGACCAAAGTAGTGAAAGATTCTCTCAGTAGTGTTTCAGTACTACAGGCAAATAATTAAATCTGGTTTTTTGCTTCCTCTTTTGTCAATCTCCTATCTTAGAGTTCTAAAATCCTTATAATAAACTTGAAAGGTTTCTTTTTTAAATATATTCTTCAACCTAAGCAATGCTAAAAAATTTAAATTAGCATGGGACTCAAATTTGCATTTGAACTAAGTAATGACTGTGTAAAAAGATACTTATCTCTTTGATGCTGAGAATTGAGAATTCCCAGGGTGAGAAGCAAATTCAAAATGTACTAGCACTAATCTGGGAAATTCTGCCACACCTTGCTCAGAAGGGTTAAATATTATGAGAAAGGTAACTGGTGAGAGGAAACCTGGCACTTGTCCATTTCAATACTTATTTTCCTTTTATTGCCTGTGTCACACACAGTCAGTTACAGTAACTCAGAAAGTTACAGTGGCAGATATCTGTGCAAGCAGTTAGGAGCTGCAGCTCCCTCTAGTGTGCTAGCGGGGAAAGATAATATACTGTATGTAGTAAAAGGAATGTTGTATTTCTAAGAACTGATTTTAAATTGTACTATATATCCTGTATTGTCTACTGATAGCCAGAACCATGACTTACTATTAATTAGGAAGTCATCCTCTTCATATATCATGCCAGTTTAGTTTTTATTGAAGGCATATATTGAACTAGTATTCCTTTATTTTTCAAATGTACTTGTGACTGAAAATACATGACAGTAAATTTCTTATTGCCATAGTTTTATCTTTCAAAGTGTCACCCGATTAGGTGTAAATTGAAAACAGTAGGTATAGATATTCTCTTAGATTATTTTTTCTCATCTGGAAGATTTTTAAAGAGGCTTTTTAGAATTGTTACTGAGATGCTGTGTATTCATATTATAACACTAGATTTACCCAGCATTGCTCAGGTCCTTAACTCAAGAAGTTTTGTTTTTCTTTATTTAAATCATTGGTCTGTGGTGAGGCTGGGGATTGGGGTTCAGTATGCAGGTGAGAAGCACCTGTACAGCTGGGGGAGGGGTGTAGGTCCCTCCAGTTAGGGAAGGGACAGACACAAACTCTCTGAAATATATAGTAGGTAGCTGTCCCTTTCTCCACTGCTGCCTCCTGCTGGCCCAATGGGGTTATAGCTGTCCCAGTCCCCATCTCTAGCGTCTTGCATATCTTAGAGCAGTGGTTCCCAAACTTTTCGGCATCACGCCCCCTTTTTGATTTTTGAGAAACCCTCACGCCACCACCACCCCCACCTCCGAATAGCAGCAAAACTTGAGCAAGAAAAAGGAACTGACTGGGGCCGAGAAAGAAAAATAGCAGCAAAACTTGGGGGGGGGGAGGGAGGGCTGGGTCGCCTTGTATCCCCTCCCCCCCCGAATTTCTTCATGCTCCCCTCCCCCAGTTTAGGAACGCATGTCTTAGAGCATATCTATACCTATCCCAGGGAGAAAAGACTACCCCAGCCCTCTTTTACCACAGCAGCTTTGGACCAGGTGAGAAGTACCTGAACAGCTGTGAGGGGGATACATGTTGCCCAGCTAGGGAACAGAAATACAGATCTTGTGGTAAATTCTACAGTACAACTGTCCCTCCTACCAGACCCCTTCCTTTCATTTTATGAGAAACAATTGAATTCCAGGCACATCCCATTGTCCTGGAACAATCAAACCCTGACCTTGCTTTAAGTTATGATATGAGGAAGCTGCATTGCAAATTTGGTGGTCCTAGCTCTTAGCATTTAGGATTTCTTGAACAAATGGACAGCTAGACAGATGCACAAACTCTCAAATATATAGTAGATAATGTAGGGCTGCAATTAGTAATTGATCTGAAGTTGCAATTATTTTTCTATTAATGAATATTTGTCTGTTAGAAATATCATAATACCTGAAAATCCTTCAGCTCTTGCTCTTTTGCTAACCTGTAAGAAGCAAATTATCTAAATTTAAAATAAGTATATTCACTTGTTTTTGTTTATAGGCATGTAAAATTGGCAAGAGACATTAACACGGCAAACTCTCTACATTTTGTGTTTGCTACATGGCATTATTAACATTGCTTAAACATCTCTTGCTGACAGTAACGGAACAGCATATTTAATGTGCATGTTTTAATATCTTTTCATGGAAGACTGTTTTCTTTAACAAGTGCAAATGTGATACAGCTCTTTATGATTCTTAGATGAGAATTTAAAAAAGGAGACTGACACAAGAAATCAGCTGAGTATTATGCTCTTTAAGATGAAGAAAGTGTCATAGTGACATTAACTTGCCCTGCTGGCTAAATGAAGATACAATAAAGTGCAAATAATTTCTCCTCTATTTAATGCATATACACTTAGGGCTTGCCTACACAGAGACCTAGTGCGCACCAAGCCAAAATGTGAATGTATGTCAGAGTGCACTACAGAACTTTTTAATGAATGATGGCAGAATCTACACAGCAACTTAGTGTGGCGAGCTAGTGTATCGTATGCTAATGCCCTGGCTAGCCAGGTACTTAGGCTAGGTCTACACTGCGAAGATAAATCAGAAAAAGAAACTTCTTTTTCTGCTTTACTGTCAAAAGAGACTTTTCAGAAATTTGGTGCATTAACACTGTGCCAAATTTTGGAAAAAAGTCCTCTTTCGACACATCCCTTCTTCCTCGTAAAACAAGGTTTACAGGGATGGCAAAAGAGCATGTCCACTTTTCTGAAAAATTTTCTGAAAAAGCAGGTGCGTTCCTTGGATGCAGCATTGCTTTTCCGGGATACCTCTGGTATCCCAGAAAAGCACTGCAGTCTAGACGTAGCCTTAATCTTTGTGTAGATGAGACCTTAATCTGATTATAATCAAGAAAGCTCATTAAGAAGCAGACAGGCAGTAGTTATTTTAATTATATAAAAATGAATTTAAAATTTTTCCTCACTCTGGAGTAGCATGATTTCCCTTACTAAACACCTGAAAGAGATAAATCACTTTGCTTTCTCCCCTTAATCCAGCCAGTTATATGGAGACTTCATTGTTATCCTGTAGGTCTGAAATAAACCTTTATATTGGACAAGTACATGATGCTTACCCAAACCAGTCCTGACGATATGTAAATTCATGAAACATTTCATGGTTAGCTACACACACTCCAGGCTGATTGATGAGGATTGCAGGAAAATATTGGGAGAATATACATATTCTCTACCTTTGAGTGGCTATCTGCTGCACTAGCCTGAGCAGCAATTACATATCATATTACAAGAGCCTCTAAAATAGAAGGGTGCTGCTGGCTTGGCGGCCATGGAAATAAGTCCTCCATTCGTTCACAGAACCAGTATGTGTCAGACAGGAGCTCTTCCACACTTCCCACACTGCTCGTGTACCTTTTCTATGACAGGGAGAGCCTGCTGTGACAGTGACCAGGTTGCTGCACTGCTGAAGAGATTGGAACGTTGGAGTCATGAAATAACACTTCTGTAAAGTCCATGTCAGCACTTTGTAAATTGCATAGCATACAACTTAGCTAAATAGCAAAAGGGATTTCATTACTTATCTGCTTTATTTTTGTTTCCTAGGTATTCTTTGCTGAAGATGTGGGTTCAAACAAAGGTGCCATCATCGGACTAATGGTAGGCGGTGTTGTCATAGCAACAGTCATTGTCATTACTTTGGTGATGCTGAAGAAAAAACAGTACACATCCATCCATCATGGTGTAGTGGAGGTAAGTAAAAGTTACTAAGGAAAGCTGCACTTAACATGAATGGAGGTGGCAGCAGAGTGCTGCATACAAGTGTGTAAATCAGGGGTCGGCCGAGGGGCCACTTCAAAAAATTTTGAAGTAGTCCTGGGCCATCCCAGAAGGGGGGGGGGGGCTAACTGAAGAAAAAACAGTACACATCCATCCATCATGGTGTAGTGGAGGTAAGTAAAAGTTACTAAGGAAAGCTGCACTTAACATGAATGGAGGTGGCAGCAGAGTGCTGCATACAAGTGTGTAAATCAGGGGTCGGCCGAGGGGCCACTTCAAAAAATTTTGAAGTAGTCCTGGGCCATCCCAGAAGGGGGGGGGGGGCTAAAGCTGCACCACATGTGTGCTGCTAGCAGGGCGCGGGCAGAGCGAAGAAGGCTTCGTGTGCTCCACCACCCCCAGATCCTAATTGGCCTGGGGGCGGGGGAGCAGCAGGGCCTCTGCGGGCCGGATTCAGCCCGTAGAGGCCCTTTTGCCCACCCCTGGTGTAAATCCATGTGTTTACAAATGGACTAAGAAAATCAGCTCCTTAGTTAACCATTATTTGAAAATAGTATGGCTGTCTCATGTTAAACTAATAATTTTATTCAGCAAGATGGAACTGAATGATCTGAACAGCATAAACATAAGCATAGCAATCCATAGGCTGTTCCCAGTGGGGCCAACAGCCTTGCCAGGCCCCAAGGCAAGGTGGAGGGGTGGCTCCGCATTCCTGGAAGGAGCATAACCCACGGTGAAAGGGCCAAGGGCAGTCCGCCTTTAGCACCACGCCGACCACAGCGCGTGCCCCACGGCCCTCACAGCCAAGCAGAGCAGTGCTCCTGCCCTCCCATGGGAAATCAAAGGGGCCTCTGGCTCCTGGGGTAGTAACAACAGAAGCAGTCAGGAACTACAGGCCCCTTTGAATCACAACTGACCTCTTTACGCACCACCACTCCCTCCCAGCCCCTGGATATGCCACTTCTAATTCAATCAAAATATGAAAAAATCTCTCCAGGACCGATGACCTTGAAATATTGATTTCCCTTTAAAATTTAACTGCAGCTGCAAAGGTAGTATTGGTTGAAAAAGTTTTTACTACTGTTGGAAATGCACATGTAAGGCCTTTATTTTTATTAATTTGTAAAAGGTTAACTAAATAATTAGGATGGGGGGAAAGGGAGGTTGCCTGTGGATTGTACTCTGTTACACTATATTGTATTGCTTTTTACTTGATCAACAAGATTAATTCTAGCTAATAGCCTTTGGTTTAGAGCAAACATGAAACTGATAGATTTGAAACAGCACATGAGACTTGCAAGATCTTTTCTCAGAATGAAAGCTGTTTCGTTTCCCAATGTATCAAGTAAATCTCTCACATGCTCATAATAAATTTAAAATAGTACTGCTTCTACCACCTGCTGTGACTTAATATAAAATCACTAAATAGACCCCAAACAAATGAATTTCTACCTTTGTTGATGATATCCAGCACACTCATTGTAGCTATCTGTTAACTTTGTATTAGTGCATCATATCAGGAAATCCTCAAGAGCTTCAGGACTTTTCTTTCCAGAAACCACCAGATAACAAAATTTAATTTAATTCAAAATTGAAAATGTTCAATTTCTTTAAATTGTTGCTGAGACAAATGCACCTAAGGGTACGTCTAGACTACAACCTTTTGTCAACAGATACCTGTCAACAAAGAGCGGCTAGACTACATCCAGTTCTGTTGACAAAGCAAGTCGCTTTGTCGACATGACAGTGTAGATGCAATAACCCCTTCTGTCAACAGAACGGTCATTAAAAGGTGTTATTCCTCGTAGAATGAGGTTTACAGCCGTCGACAGAACTCAGCAGCAGTGTAGAAGCAGGTATAGTTTTGTCGACAAAAGTCTACTTTTGTCGACAAAACCCTGTAGTCTAGACACACCCTAAGTGACACCTCAGGTCCCATAGCATAAATAGGAGGGATGTTTCCTAAGCCTGCACAGTGCATTATTCAGTGCAGAAGAGTTTTAAAATTTGAGAGTCTCAGCTTTATTTTTGTGATATATTTACAAATTGTATTTAGTGTTCTAATAGCCTAGGGAAAAAAAATGTTCTTGTGACTGATCCTGTGCTACAGAAGCTCCAACTTTTCATAATAAAATGACAAGGATAGTCTTAGATCTATGGAAATTTTCCATAACAGAACTAAATCAGAAATGTTAGCCTCGCTCTTGAAAATACAGTCCCAGCTTATGTACAGCTGAGCAGAATGTCAATGGCAGTGTAAATGAGTGATGAATAAATAATAATAATAATAGCTGGCTAGCTCCTATGAGGACTGTTGAATCTAGCACAAATGCCTAATCAATTAATCAGTACAGATATTAAGGCATTATGGTCTAGTGGTTTATATTTGAAAATAGGCATCAGGATTGTTTGATTGTGTCTAATTTTTGGCCTTAAGCTAATCACTTAAACTCTCTGCCTTTGTTTCTTACCTGCAAAACTGAGATAATACGTATCTATTTCCTAGGGGTGGTGAGGGTTAGTTAGTAAATGTTTATACAGCACTTTTAATTTTTTTAAACTCTGTAGGCAGTAAATTCTTCTTAACAAAATGTCTTTGAAGTAAGGATATTTCAGTCCAAAGAGGATTAATTTATCTAGGGTTGTTCACTAAAGGCATAACATTTAAAATATCTGGTCTACATTAGTTGTATTTTGACAAACTAATTTGTATCCCATCTGTTTACCTTGTGTTCAAAACTGTTATGACTACAGGCAGTCCCCGGGTTACATGGATCCGACTTACATTGGATCCCTACTTACAAACGGGGTGAGGCAACCCCACACTAGCTGCTTCCCCCCAGCAGACCAGGGAGTCGCGAAGCTAGCGTCCCCGTCCCCCCCCTCCGCAGACCAGGGAGACGCGGAGCGGCTTTTCTCAGCAGACATCTCAGCTTGAGAATAAAGGACTGAGGGAAGTGAGGTGTGGGAGAATAAAACTGAGCTCTGGAGAAATGTTTGGCTAAAGTTTCCCCTACAATATGTACCAATTCTGACTTACATACAAATTCAACTTAAGAACAAACCTACAGTTCCTATCTTGTACGTAACCCGGGGACTGCCTGTATTTAAATGTATGTTAATGGGTACAAGGTTACAAAATAGTTTCCATTAAAATATCCTCTTTGCTTTCCAAAAATTCTGTACTGGGGATAAAATTCTTAATATTTGTTATCTAATTAATGGCTTTAAGAAAAAAAAAGCCAATAATCACTTTGAAAGGTATTGCAATATCTTTTAAAACAAAACATTTAGAGACGGACAACTACAAACAATTTTTTGAAAGGGGAGCAAGTAATTGATTGATATAAATTATTGCAAACAGTTAAAAAATTTGGTACAGATGTTATGCATCATCACCTCAAAATAAAATCACAAACCCTAAACAAACATCTTTGCTTACAACATATTATAGGAATGTTCCATATAGTGTAATTGAATAGTCGTGTAACTGCTTGAAATCTTATCTGTTACATGACTATTCGATAGCCCCTGGGGGTGGGGCCAGGAGCCAGTGGACACCTGGCCCCACCCCCTGGGGAGCCCCCTGCCACCCTGCACTGCTGCCAAGCAGGAGCCAGTCCACAAGGGGAGACAGTTTAAAAACCAGCTCCCTGTGCAGACTGGCTGCCTGCTGCCGCCTCTGTATCAGAGTCAGCAGTGTGGGGTGGCAGCAGCCCCTGTTCACAGGGATCCTAACTCCTGCAGACTGATGGGGTGGGGGGAGGACAGAGGAGGCTGCTGCATCCAGCCACTGTCATTGGCGGCCCCAGGCTTGCCATGGACAAAGGCTGCTTCAGGAGCTGGTTCTCAAGATGTTCTATGTTGCATGGAGTAGCAGGCTCAAGAAATCCAGGTGATATTTCCTAGTAGGAATGTCAACGTGTACACGCTTAGGCTTATCAGTTAATCTTATCAACTACACGCACTCCCCCCCTCCCCACCTTTGACGCCTCTGAGGCAGCAGTGCAGGGGTGGGGAGGACAAGCGGATCCAGCGCTTGTGGGGAGCCTGCTTAACGTTGGCTTCTCATGGGCATCAGCTCCCCTCCTTTCTGTCTCTGATAAAGAGGGAGCATGGGGTGGAAGTGAATGTAGTTGATAAGGTTAACTGATAAGCCAAGACTTATCACGTAGTTGACTACACGTTGACATCTCTACTAGGAAATATCACCTGGGTTTCTTGAGCCTGCTACTCCATGCAACATAGAACTTCTTGAGAACCAGCTCCTGAAACCACATGATCAGTGAGTCTGAGGTATAATCACCTGCAGAGAAGCAGAAAAAGCTTTATCACTTGACACTTCTAAACCAAACTGGAAAAGAAAAATTACAAGGAAATTTACAATAGTGAAAACTGACTGAGAAACTAGGTGTCCTAATCAGTCTTTTCGATCTATAAATTTCATGATTCGGTGGCAAAAGTAAATTATAAATTAGGTTATCAAATGTAGGTTTTGCCTTCATTCGGAATATTCTGCAGTGTTGTTAGGAGCACTTACCCAATTTTGCAATATTTCATAGATGAACCTATTTCTATGGCCTTTAAAATCCAATTGTGTACGCTGCTCCTGATCATCTGTTTGCTTTCTTGTCCATTCTTTCATTTCATCTGTATGGAGGCGAGAGGCAAAGGCAGCGTCTAATTACAGATCTCGCGTTGTCAGGCCACAGACTTAGCCTGACTCTTGCTCTCTTGTTAACAAGATCAAGATGGCTGCACACAAATTCCCTTATTCCCTTTTCCTGCCACCACATTATTAATTATTTGTATTATATCACTGTATAGGGCTCCAGTCATGGCCCCACTTGCACTGACCACTGTATAAGCACGCAACAAAAAGATTAGTTTTACTCCAAGGAGAAGGTAACCATCCATCCCATTTTAAGGCCTCTTCCCAGTGTCCCAACTTATTTTTTAAAAAATGGGTACATTGATCCCATATTTCCTCTACGGGGAGAGGGGGAGCTGCCAGCACTCAGGGCTTCATCCACTGAAGCCCCAAGCACCGGCAGCTCCCCTTCCCACTCTGCATGCTGCGGGTGGTGAACTTCATCCCTGCAGTGGAGTCGGGTGGGCGGGGAATCGTTGGCATTCGGGGCTTCAGTCACTGGAGCCCCGAGCACCGGCAGCTTCTCCCTCCTCCCCCTCCACACCCACACTCACTCACTCTCTGTGAGGCTGAAGCCCCGTCCCCTTGGTGTCCTGTATTTGACATAGGGAAATATGGTCACCCTACCCAAAGATCTAAGGGTATGTCTACACTACAGCATTATTTTGAAATATCTAATTTTGAAATAGTTATTTCAAAATACCTTATTTCGAAATAACACATCTACACACAAAATGCATATCAAAATAACTTCTTGCTATTTCAAAATAGCACAGCTACGCTGATTGGATGCTGAATTGCATTTAAGGCCAGCCAGAACTGGTTCCAGCAGGGCATCAGGTCAGAAGTTACCTTGTGGCCAGGGCGCCCAGCAACACTTATTTTGAAATGGCAGTTTTGGAATTGGCGCTATTCCTTGTGGAATGAGGTTTACCAATTTTGAAATAAGCACTCTGCTATTTCAAATTCATTTCAAAATAGCAGTTGGCTTGTGTAGACGCTAGGAAAGTTATTTCTAAATAACTTTGCTGTGTAGACATACCCTTACACTTATCCTCATGGGTTGTACTGGGTTGGACTTTAAAACAGGAATCTTTCATCGTTCTAATTAAAAATGTGCAGATTCTTGATGGTAGAACATAGTCCTAGCCAGATATTAAATCACTAAAGTATGTTATATACACCATATCCATGTATAGAGCAAGTGCTAACCTGTGACAAGAGGGTATCCTCTCAAGGGCTACGTCTACACTGGCCCCAAATTCCGGAAAAGGGATGCAAATCAGGTAAGTCAGAATAGGGAAATCCGCGGGGGATTTAAATATCCCCCGCGGATTTAAATAAACATGTCCGCCGCTTTTTTTCCGGCTTGGGGAAAAGCCGGAAAAAAGCGTCTAGACTGGCGCGATCCTCCGGAATAAAGCCCTTTTCCAGAGGATCTCTTATTCAGGTAGGAATAAGAGCCATCCTACTTTCAGGTAGGAATAAGAGATCCTCCGGAAAAGGGCTTTATTCCGGAGAATCGCGCCAGTCTAGACGCTACCCTATTCCGGAGGATCTCTTATTCCTACTTGCAAGAAAAAAAGCGGCGGACATGTTTATTTAAATCCGCGGGGGATATTTAAATCCCCCGCGGATTTCCCTATTCTGACTTACCTGATTTGCATCCCTTTTCCGGAATTTGGGGCCAGTGTAGACGCAGCCAAGATGTTTTTAGCAGATTTTATGTCCCTCTGTGGACTCGTATTTTTACATTTTTATACATATCTGTACTGTGCTTTAAAAAAATTTAAGTCACCTCACATATTTTAAATAGAGAGGCGGAGTAAAAAAATATTTTAAATAAATAAAATAAATATTTAAATAGCACAAGCCAGCCAACTAAAATGGAGATAATTGTTGAGAATTTTTTGTTGACTGCTATCACTGTGGGGCATAGTAATAAGGATTCTCCAGGAGAGGTAGGTAGAAAGAACAGAACAGTGGCAGGCTCAGAGGGTGTCATTAAAATGCAAGTGCAAGATTGTACACTAGCTGCTGAGCAAGTCATTGTACCAGACGTGTCTTGGGGATTTGAGTGCAGAGGTTGAAGAGGAGACAGGAGGTGACGTTCCCAAGGGTTTGCCTGCTCTTGATAAATGGGAATGATTGTTGACAGCTAAGCTGAGCATTCAGCCGCTGCTTGCACCAGCAAAAAGAAACTGTAATAGTCTGGCACTATAACAATGCTTTTTTTTTCTTTTGAAAAATGAAAGATTTGTCCCTACTCTCAAAAGCTAGGGAAATGTAAAAAACAGCTCCCGAGAGCAAACCTCATCTCTAGTCAGCAGCTGGTCTTCAGTTTGACTGAAGACAAACACCTGTCAGTTTTGTTCCAAGAAAGCTTGTGTACATTTTTACATCTAAAAAAATTACTCTTTGCAGGCTCGGCTTTAAAAGGCCTAGCCACCCTTTCATGAAAGTGTTTTCACAAGAGAAGTGTCCAATTACATTCTGGTACAGGGATCATAGAAGTGCCAATCAGACCCGATCAGCAATCCATCACACCTAATATCCTGTTTCCAATGGTGGCCAAGGGAGGGGACCAGAAACTTTGCTGTAGCCAGTTCTGGAACAAGCTCCCTGTAGAAGCAGGGGGTCCAGTTCTTAAAATTGGTGACCTTATTCGATAGAGAAGGGAAAGGATTAGTCTCACACATACAGAGGTATTTTTAAAGGCAATGTACAGTTAGTTGAAATTGGGACAAAGGTGGAAGGGAAGATTTTAGAATAGATGCCAAAATAGGACTGATTTTGATGTGGCAAGTTATCTGATACATTCTCCCATGTGAAACACTTCTTTTTTTAGTCAGTAGGATAACATGAGATAGGAGAGAGTTCTGATGGGAAGATGAGAGCCATTAATCTTAGCCACAACCCAAGCAGACAAGACCACAAAAATAGGGAGATTAGCTTACATTTGCCCTGAGTATAAAACAATGTGTCTGTGGTTTTCCTCTGGAGCTTCAGGTAACAACTTGTGAATGGGGACAGTCTTGTCCTCCGTACACTAAAATATTTCCAATATTGTAAATCTGGCATCAGGTTTGTTTAGTATGGAGAAAACAAGACTGAGGGGACATAACAGTTTAAGTACATACAAGGTTGTTGCAATGGGTGGAGGGAGAAAAGTATTCTTAACTTCTGATGATAGGATAAGAAGCAATGGGCATAAATTGCAGCAAGGGAGGTTTAGGTTGAACATTAGGAAAAACTTCCTATCAGGGTCTTTAAGCAAGCACTGGAATAAATTGTCTAGGGGAGATTGTGGAACAATACTTAATCCTGCCATGAGTGCAAGGGGGGCTGGACCAGATGACTTTTCAATGTCTCTTACAGTTCTATAAGCACTTCTCCTTTACTTATTCATGAAAAGGTTAGACTAAACTAGCCTGCTACATTAGATTTCTTGAGAGAATACATTTTCCATTATCCAAAAGGTTATTTTATGCTAAAAATAAAAAGATTTTTGTTGAAGGTCATTACTTACAGAAAATCACATAAAAATTTTTATAGCTAATATTTTAGAATAGTTTAGAATCCTCTGTGCCCTTCCTGCTTCTATGTCTTCTCAGAAGGTAGAATTTTTTTTAAGGGTGATGGCAAACACCATTGGATATGTCTAGACTGGCAAGTTTTTCCGCAAAATCAGCCGCTTTTCCAGAAAACCTTGCCACCTGTCTACACTGGCCGCATGAATTTCCGCAAGAACACGGATTTCCTACTGTCTGAAATCAGTGCTTCTTGTGGAAATAATATGCTGCTCCCGTTCAGGCGCAAAGCTTTTGCGCAAAAGGGCCAGTGTAGACAGCTCAGGTTTGTTTTGTGCAAAAAAGCCCCGATTGCGAAAATGGTGATCGGGGCTTTTTTGCAGAAAAGCGCGTCTAGATTGGCACGGATGCTTGTCCGCAAAAAGTGCTTTTGTGGACAAGCATCCGTGCCAATCTAGATGCTCTTTTCCGCAAATGCTTTTAACGGAAAACTTTTCCATTAAAAGCATTTGTGGAAAATCATGCCAGTGTAGACATAGCCCATAGGTAAAGTAAAGCAAATAGAATAGCTGGTGGGTATTACAAAAATTAAACACAATAGCCCGATGATGATAGTTTTTGAATACACAACAGTTATCTCATTCAGCCAATGGATGTAATTAGGTATTTTAACACAGAGCTGGTGAGACCAGTCTGCATAGTGGAGTAAAATTTCACATGACTGTAATGTTCAGTGAAGGAGAAAACTTGTTGTAACCACTGAGCTGTTATTGTTCCTGTCTGCTAAGAAATCAACAGTACGTTTTAGTGTACTAAAAAATATTTAACTAGTTCAGAAACAAAGCACTGATATTGGGCAGCAGATTCAATCCTGGAGTGAGAGGGTGTAAATGCTATGGGATTATTGATTTGGGACCCTCATCAGTATCCTTATTTTTTTTTGTTTTTATTAGTGAATTTGAAAGGTCCCACTTGGCAACTATAGGTAGTGTCTTATAGGATCCAGCACAAGCCACCTATTGCTGTTCTTCCAAGGTGGTTATGTATTATTGATACACATCCCTACCTGGCACAGAAGGGGTCCAGGAAGTAAGAGACTAGTTGAGTAGTTGACTACCCGGTTAAACCTAGGCTTATCAGGGAGTCGAGTCACTACTCAATTATTGGATTGCCTCCCTCACTCCTGCTGCTTCTGTAAGAAAGGCAGAGGGAGGGGGAGCCAGAGCCAGCTTAGAAGCCAGCTCCCCCAAGCACCAGCTCTTGCTCCCTGCCACCCCTTGTTGCCTCTCTCACATAGAGGCAGCAGGGGAAAGTGACTAGTCAAATCACTACTTGATTACCCAATAAGCATATGCTTGTCAGATAGGGGACCAGTCTCTTTTGGCTGGTTTCCTTATTCACTGGAGAACCATCCCATCAGGCCCAGGTCGACAGACTCTGGTTAAGCTCTAAAGACTTACTATTAGGCTTTTCCTAGGAAGGTAGGATGCAGGAGTGAGGCCTTCATTTGCTTCTCTTTCTGTGGAGTTGGACCTTTCAAATTGTGTTTAAATGCACGTAGAGGAAATCCACTAAGCGTTCAGCATATATTTGGGAGAAGTAAGTAAACTTGAGCCACTGTGCGGATCAAAGAGGAATCCTGACTGCAGTCTGTTTCCTCTTCATGCTAGGTGGACGCGGCAGTGACACCAGAGGAACGCCACCTTTCCAAGATGCAACAAAATGGCTATGAAAATCCAACCTACAAGTTCTTTGAACAGATGCAGAACTAGAACACCACAACAGCCTCATGAGTTGGACAGCAAAATGATTGCTTCACTGCCCATCGGTGTTCGATTATAGAATAACGTGGAAAGAAACAAAAAACACTCTGTTTTATTATTTACTCATTATCGCCTTTGACAGCTGTGCTGTAACACAAGTAGATGCCTGAACTTGAAATAATAAAAATCAGTAATGTATTTTCTCTCTTTACATTTCAGTCTTTACACTACATTATTAATGAATGTTTTTTGTGTACTGTAAAGAAGTTAGCTGTATTTAACTATTGCATGGATAGAGTCTCTCTCCCAATTATTTATCATGTAGCCCCTTAGCCAATTGTATATTATTCTTGTGATTTGTGGCAAAAATTAAGTCCTAATTGAAATATGCTTTAAGAATTGATGGGGGATGCTTCCTGTGTCTTAGCTGCTTCTCTTTGCTGAGTATTTTTTTCTGATCACTATGCATTTTAAAGTAAAACTACATTTTTTTAAAGTATTCCAGATGAGTTATTTTCCTCTGCAGTTGCATTTTATTGTACAGATGGTTGCTTCTGCTGTATTAGTGATGTAGAAATCATGGGAATACACATTTGTTTCTTTGTGCCTGTTTTATGTGCACACTTTAGGCATTGGAAGGTAAACTTATTTTTTCCATGTACCTTTTTGATCTTTTAATAAAAATTAAAAAATGAAAAAGAATCCCTATTAATTGTGAGCACTTTCATAGGGAAAAAGTGCCTGCTGGTTGAAAATTAATGGGGATCCTACAAATGTCTCTGCAGGATGATTGTACAGAATCATTGCTTATGAATTGATAGCTTTCTACACTGTGTTACATAAATAAATTAAGAAAAAAAATCTTTGGAAAAGAGTTTTCTTTGGAGGCAGAAAACAACATAAACATCCACAAAGTCAGGAGAGAAGGGGCATTTTCCTGAATGTCGATACAGACCAGAACATGCACAGTTTGAATACAGAGAAATAAAATGGCAGTGCAGGGAAGAGCCATGGCCTTTGGTTGCCCTTCCTCTCCAAAAGGTCATTTTTTCCCCACTTTGTATAATGGTGTTTTAATTTAAATAAATACAATTCTTGGAGGAGTTCCTTTGCAGGGGGGTGAGTATGTAATTACTAGAGATTTAAATTAGTCCAATATTTGCTTAACCAATAAGCCTAGGATTATCCGTTGATCATTTTGACTACTCACATTCCTCCCCGCCCCACCTCTGTATCAGCCAATGCTGCGGGGAGCCCTCTTAAAAGCCAGTTCACACCAGCTTCACGGTGCTGCCTGTCTCTTCCCCTGCTGCAGAGGGGCCAGGGGAGGGTCCAAGCAGTCTCTGTTCATGCAGAGCTGGTGTTCACCCGCCCCCCCAGAAGGGCTGCTGCCAGACCAGCTGCCGTCCGTGGAGATTGCTTCACAGTAACTCCTCCACCCCCGCAGTGGCCTCTGTCCGTGGGGGGCTGCTGCGATCCTGCATTGCTGCCTCCAGCAGAGGCATGGGGCGGTAGGGCAGCTGGTCTGTGCAGGGAGCTGGTTTTTAAATTGGCTCCTGTTGTGGATCAGCTCCTGCCTGGGTACCCCATGCTGCTGCCTCTGATACAGAGGCAGCAGTGCAGGGTAGCCGGGAACTCTCCTGGACTATGTCTACACTCATGGCTTCTTGCACAAGAACATCTTGCGCAAGGGTTCTTGTGCAAGAAGTCTTGCACAAGAAAACGTTCACACTGCCATGTGCGTGCTGTGCTTTTGCACAAGAGCTCCCATGGCAGTGTGGATGCTCTCTTGCAGAAGAAAGCTCTGACAGCCATTTTAGCCATAGGGCTTTCTTGCGCAAGAAATCCCTGCCGAGCGTCCACGCTGCCCTCTTGCGCAAGAGCTCCTACCCCTGTTAAAAAAGAGCGTAGCTCTTGCGCAAGGAGCCCTCTCTTACCACGCCGTACTGTAAATTTCCTTGCGCAAGAGCAGGCGGGCAGTGTAGATGCTCTGCAGATTCTTGCACAAGAAGCCGCGAATGTAGACATAGCCCTGGAGTGGGGCCAGAGCACACAATTATGCCTAAAACTGGTACTGGAATCAAGGATGTCATTTGTGGGATGGTGAGGGGTCACTAGCCCCCCCCAAAGTTTGAACCCCTCGATTTCATACCTGATGTCTGCTTAAAGGGGATGTCCTAGCTCCAGTAGCAGTTCTTAATTGCAATTGAGAGTTGTGTTGCTTCCTGCTTTGCTTTTGGGACAAAGTTTGTTTCTAGGCAGGCAGGGTAATAAGATATCAAAAAGGTTTATCATTCAAGTAATTGAAGTATCTGTACATCAACCTGAAACCATTGCTATGTACTCCACTAAAAAGAGGAGGTATAAATAGTGATGTGCTGCAGGGATCTGCATATGGACCAGTTCTGTTCAACTTGTAAATGTTCTTAAGGTGGCAAAAGTTGCTGATTCAAAATAGATAAGTCCAAAGCTGCCTGCACACAGTTGCACAGGGATCTCACAAAACCGGGTGATTGGGTAACAAAAGGGCATATGGAATTAATGTTGATAAATGCAAATTAATGCATGTGTCAAAATATCCTAACTATACATATAAAAATGAGGTCTACAATAATTTGTCACTCAAGAAAGATCTTGGCATCATTGTGCATAGTTCTCTGAAAGCATCTCCTCAATGTGCAGTGATACTCTACTCTAAAAAGCTAACAGAATATTTGGGAATCATTAGGAAAGGAAGAGAAAATGTCATATTGCCTTTATGTGAATGAACAGAGGAGGCAATCATCGTATGGTCCACCCCTGTTGCGCACATCTTGTATACTTCATGCCAACCCCATCTAAACAGAGATCTACTGAAAGCAACAAACAGCTTCCATGTGATGAGAGATAACAAGACTGGGACACTTCAGCTTGGAAAAGAGGAGACTAAGTCTAGATAACCATGAATGATATGGAAAAATAGAATAGGGAAATGTTATTTATTCCTTTACTAACATAAGAAACTGGCCCATTGAAATTTATAGGTAGCACATTTAAAACAAAACAAACTATTTCTTCATGGTCAACCTGTGGAACTCTTTGGCCAGGAGATAGCAGAAAGGCCCAAGCTGTAACAGGGTTCCCATAAGAACAATAGTTCGAGGAGGACAGGTCCATCAATGGCTACTAGCCAAGATGGGCAGGGATGGTACCTCTAACATCTGTTTGCCAGAAGCTGGGAATGTGCAACAGGAGATCGGCCATTTGATGAATGCCTCGTCTGTTCATTCCTTCTGAAACACCTGGCATTGGAACACAGGATACTGGACTAGATGGACCACTGATCTGACCCAGTCTGGCCATTCTGATGCTCTTGTGTAGATCTTAAAAATAGCTGTCCCCTGCTGTACCTACTAGACCCCACTTCTCTTCCAGAGCTGAGATGGAGATCTGACAGCCTCCCCTCTCTCTCTTTTTCTGCAGAGTTAGAAACAAACACAGAATACACATTACAATTTTAAGGCTAACCAGTGTCCCTTAAGTGATTTGCCCCAAGATGTCAGAATGGTAGAATTAGAGCTGAGTGGGTCTAATTTTCCATAGGAATTAGATTAGATATAGTGCTGACAGCTAATTGCAAAGTTATCTGCCAAAAAGTATAGTTTTCCAGTGCTTTCGTAGCCCCTGGAAAGAGGTGATGTGTGTGTGGAGAAGGGGGGGAGAGCAGATGAGGTTGGTTCTGCCCCCACCCCAGCCAATTTGCTGCTTGGCTTGTATTGAGCATGCTCAGTAGCACTGCTGAAGCCACTGTCCTAAGTCTGCCCCCATGCTCTCACTTTACTCCCCCCCCGCCGCCAAAATCTGAAATGGCTCCCCTGACTTGAATGCCTAAACCACAGATTGTAGATCCGTATTCTGAGCACACTGCATTTCACTTGTGCCCCCACCCACAGGCACCACCTTCACTCACCACCAACAGTTTGCAGGGTGCTGCAGCTTGTGACTCCTAAGACCTGTGAATTAGACCCTTAGTGCCTCTATGTATGTATGAAACTTGTTTTACCGTTGTACATGGATGAAAAAAGGTCACAGTGAAGGAAAGTCTCTATCTCCTCCCTGTTGTACAAGTTATCACAAACTGATTGTTCCATGTAGCCGAGTCTGTTCCTGAAGCAATTGTTGCAATCAGTAACTCTCTTCCTCTGGTTTTTAAGAAAGCCCAGTGCATAAAAAGGCATGAAAAACCATGTCAAGTTTCATGTGCAATCATTGCATAATGCACCTGACTAAAGCAGCTCACGTAACAAGAGCCTTAACACTATTGCAAAGCACCACAAAGCCACTGACACTTCTCCATCACCAGCTAGAGAAAGGGCTGGCAACCTTCTCGAAGTGGCACGCCAAGATTTAACCCTCCTGTCCTGGGCTGCGTCACTCCCTGTGGGGGGGAAGGGGGCAGCTCTCTCCGCCATACACCCTGTTTGGTCTCCTGCCCTGGGCTCTGCTGCAGCTTTTCCTGTGGCAAGGGAAGGAGCAGCGCGTGTACTTTCCCACAAGCTGGATCCGGAGCGGAGCCTCGGGGCTTCGCCCCACAGGAAGCCAACACTGGCTCCAATCTTGCAGAGAGCATGATGCTGGATTGCCAGCATGGGCTCCCTGTTGCGGATGGAGGGAACCCGTTCATTGCGCATGTCACCGAAAATCATCTTGCATGCCACTTATGGCACGTGTGCTTAAGTTGCTGACCCCTGGCCTACAGCCAGAGTCCCAGCAACACAGAAAGATTGGGCATCTTACACTCTTCTCATATGCAGCCTAGCAGCTACCCTGACGAGCATAGTACAGCTCCGCCTTTCAAGACAAGCGGTCACTGTGACAAGCAGCTGTTGTAGACTAACTGCATTTCAGCTCCCTTTGCCCAGTCACTGGCTAGTCCAAAGCAGGAACAGAGGCCCAGCACCATTTTCTAACGGTAGTGCTGATAGAAGAAGCTGAATTCATTTATGATCTAACTGTCCCAGTTTCATTACTGGCTCTAGGCCTATCTGGAAGAGCTCAGGAAAGCCCTGCCCCCTCTCCCTCCCACTCCTTGCTGTTGGCCCTATTGGTCTCAACCTGGGTGAAAATAACTTAAATGTCTGATATATGAAAGTTTCTAACACCCTCCCCGTTGCGAGGGATCTCAGGGCAGGGACCTGGTGCTGTGGGGAAGCTCTGGATTTAGGGCTGGGGCTGTGTGGGGTGCAGGAGTCAAGGCAGAGGGTTGTGGGGGGAATGTTCAGAGTAGGAGGCAGGGAGCGTATGTTGGGGGACTGTGCGGGGGGTGGGGGGGGCTGGGTTACCTTACCTGGCTGGTAGACAGGTCCTTGTCTCACTGCTCCTGTTTGCTGCCATGGGAGCTGTGGGCCAGCTGTATGGGAGCACTGCTATGGGCAAACGGGTGGTGGTGATGATTTGAGAAACCCCCTGACCTCTTGCTCCCTTCCCCTCACTTCTTCCCCGGGGCTGCCGTCAGCAGTGCATGCCAGGGGCTGCATGTGCGCTGCCTGGTATCCAGCAAGAGAGGGGGCAGCAGGACAGGTGCGGCTGCACCAGAAGGCAGCTGGAAGTGTGCATGCCTCCTACAGAGTGTTCCCAGCCAGTCTCTTTAACCTGCTCACCTCACCTGCCTGCCAGCCACTTAACACTGGTGTGCAGGGTTGTCAGTGCCAGCCGGGAGCCCA